GTCTTGAGGATCAACATGAACCTGACGAAGCAGTGTAGTCCCTGTATTATGTATTATTTAGTAGCTGCCTCGTCGATATATTTATGTATTGTTTTGCTTGTTTTGGTGCATTATGGAGCCGTGTGGGTCACACACTTGACCTGCATGGATCATACAGATCTGGGTCCAACCCAAGCAGATTACGGGAAACCAAATGCAACCCACAGACCATATGAGAATTGGGGTGGGGGCTGGGGGCTCTGAACCAATACAGAATTTGTTGTACGTGCGCAGCCCCTGAACCCTTCAGGATTCCTAGATAGATGTGGTTCTCGACAATCTGCTTGGACTCTGCTAAGATCAGCGCCCTGATCGATTTCATGTCATCGTATCCCGACAGTTGCTCATAATATCAATCACTGGGTTGTGTTCCAGACTCGGTCACTAACAGCCACAGTCATAGACACAGCCACAGCCGGAGTCACAGTCACAGCCACAGACACAGCCGGAGTTACAGCCACAGCCACAGACACAGCCACAGTCCACACAGCCACAGTCATAGTCAGTCAGAACACAGTCACAGTCATGGAGAGTTACAGCCACAGCCACAGTCACAGTCATTTACAGTCACAGTCACAGCCACAGTCAGCCACAGTCACAGTTACAGCCACAGTCACAGTCACAGCCGGTTACAGTCACAGCCACAGTCACACAGCCACAGTCACAGCCACAGTCACAGTCACAGTCATAGACACAGCCACAGTCATACAGTCACAGTCACAGTCACAGCCACAGCCACAGTCACAGTCACAGCCACAGCCACAGTCACAGCCACAGTCACAGCCACAGTCATAGCCACAGTCATAGACACAGCCACAGTCACAGTCACAGTCATAGTCACAGCCACAGCCACAGTCACAGCCACAGTCATAGTCACAGCCACAGTCATAGCCACAGTTACAGTCATAGCCACAGTCATAGACACAGCCACAGTTACAGTCACAGTCACAGTCACAGCCACAGCCACAGTCACAGCCACAGCCACAGTCACAGTCATAGCCACAGTCACAGCCACAGCCACAGTTACAGTCACAGCCACACAGACAGCCACAGTCATAGCCACAGCCACAGTCATAGCCACAGTCATAGACACAGCCACAGTCACACACAGTCACAGCCACAGTCACAGCCACAGTCATAGCCCACAGTCACTTGGGTAGACACAGCCACAGTCACAGCCACAGTCACAGCCACAGTCACAGCCACAGTCACAGCCACAGTCATAGACACAGCCACAGTCATAGCCACAGTCACAGTCATAGCCACAGTCATAGACACAGCCACAGTCACAGCCACAGTCACAGTCATAGCCACAGTCATAGCCACAGTCACAGTCCACAGTAGACACAGTCATAGCCACAGCCACAGTCATAGCCACAGCCACAGTCATAGCCACAGTCACAGTCACAGCCACAGTCACAGTCACAGTCACAGTCAGTCACAGTCACAGCCACAGTCATAGACACAGCCACAGCCACAGTTACAGTCATAGCCACAGTCATAGACACAGCCACAGTCATAGACACAGCCACAGCCACAGTTACAGTCATAGACACAGTCACAGCCACAGCCACAGCCACAGACACAGTCACAGCCACAGTCACAGTCACAGCCACACAGCCACAGCCACAGTCAGTTTCACAGCCACAGTTACAGTCACAGCCACAGTCATAGACACAGTCACAGTCGGAGCCACAGTCACAGTCACAGTCACAGACACAGCCATAGCCACAGTCACAGTCAGTCAGCCACAGTCATAGAGCCACAGTTACAGCCACAGTCATAGACGCCAGTCACAGTCACAGCCACAGTCATAGACACAGCCACAGTCACAGTCACAGCCACAGCAGTCACAGTCATACACAGCCACAGTCATAGCCACAGTCACAGTCATAGCCACAGTTACAGTCACAGCCACAGTCATAGTCACAGCCACAGTCACACAGCCACAGCCACAGTCATAAACACAGTCACAGCCACAGTCACAGTTACAGTCACAGTCACAGACACAGCCACAGTCACAGCCACAGCCACAGCCACAGTTACAGTCACAGTACTACAGCACACAGTCATAGACACAGCCACAGTCACAGCCACAGTCACAGTCATAGCCACAGTCACAGCCACAGTCACAGCCACAGTCATAGCCACAGTTACACAGCCACAGTCATAGACACAGCCACAGTCACAGCCACAGTCATGAACACAGCCACATAGGTCACAGCCACAGTCAGACACAGCCACAGTCACAGACACAGCCACAGTCAGCCACAGTCACAGTCACAGACAGTCATAGCCACAGTCATGGAGCCACAGCCACAGTTACAGTAGCCACAGTTACAGTCATAGCCACAGTCACAGTCACAGCCACAGCCAGCCACAGTCATAGACAGACACAGTCACACAGTTACAGCCACAGTCATAGCCACAGTTACAGTCACAGTCATAGACACAGCCACAGTTACAGTCATAGCCACAGTCATAGACACAGCCACAGCCACAGCCACAGCGTACCAGTTTGAATGATCCTGAACGCAACAACCAACAACTCGAAAAAACAACATCTCTCTACGACGTCATGGATGGCACTTTTAGATGCATTGACAAAACTCTACCACACGGATGTCCGAACGACCATTACCTGGAACTTAATGAGAGATACGTAACCAGTGAAAGTGACGGCAGACAGAATCAGATCGGCCTCGTGCTCCACCTTGAAGATAAGGCTGACAACGAGGTGCAGCTTTATCAGACAGAGTCTCGGGAACAGATGGTTCCAGAGATAGTCGGAACTGAAACAATTAACCTGTACCGAGAACCACGTGTCGGGGTAAACGCATCGCAACATTACTTGCTTACCGACCTGGCTGAAACAGCCGCCATTGCACAGGATGCTATTCCCGTGCGATTCGCAGAATCTGTACCTATGTAGAAGCACCAATATTCTTGTAATGAAACTGTCAGCCGGCCAGTGACGAGTGGTCAGCGGACATGAACGAGTACCTCGCCCACTGACACCTTGGCACAAGGAGGTGTATTCCAACTATTAACAAATATATCAGGGTGCCGTTGTACAAGGGGTCGCAGTGCTAAGATGATCGTAATTCCTATACCTTAATATAGACTTAGTCTTAGCGCTAAGAGTGATTTTTACAACCGGACTCAGGTGTCCAGCCAGTATAAGATGAACCGAAATTTCCGTCGCTATCATATTGTATTCCTTTGAAAAATCTACCATCTGGTCAACACAGATCAGCGTCAAATTGACTGTGACGGACACCTGCTGTAAGCCGGACAGAGAGGTGGAAGAGGGGGCAAGAACTTAGTAATTCAGACTTTCACATACTTTTTGATATTTGCACCAGAGTACTCCGACATGGAGGTAGATACATCATGGGCATTCGTGACAACTGGGGATATTTCCGGATATTTCCGGACCAGCTATTGTTGCTGCTATGGGAAGGCGCGAAAGGGTTCTATGTCCCTTGAGTATTTCTATATTTTCAGAAATGTTTGTTGTTAAACGCCGCGCTCATCAACATTCCAGCATTGGTCCAGTTGCCATAAGCAGGTTGTTTGAACCATTTTATCCAGTTACTTTGTGATGAAACTGCTTCTCGATAGATGACATTGCTCGTGTTACCATAAACAGTCTGTTTTCAATGAAGCATATGTTAAATGACATATTATGTATGACATGTATGATTTGCTGTACAACAAAAAAAGTGGAATAAAAAAACCCCAAAAACAACAACAAAAAACAACAACAAACAAACAAACATTCCAGCAATATGATGACGGTCTGTAACTAATCGAATCTAGACCAGACAATCCAGTGATTGGCATCATGAGCATCGAGTGGAGTAAATAAGGTTCCAGTTTAAACTCAATATATAATCATCATGGTAAGTAACAGTCTTCATTGCTTATATCTTCCTTTGCTGTCTCTCGCTCATGACAGTAATTATGTGGACCGTCCAATGCGAAGCTACAGTACCGAATGCATGGCGAGTATTTATCATGATGTATAGGGATAATATACCCTGGAGAACTGAAGATGGATGCATAGATTACGTCACAACCTGAACAAAGACTGAACTACATAGTATCTTATACCGCCGGTTTCCTACTTTTAGTACATGCTCGTCACACCTGCACCTACCCAGATAGTCAGTCTCACAGACCCTGAACCACATTATTTCCCCTACTGCCTAGCCCTCCCTGCAATGTAGTCAGTCTCACAGTCCCTGAACCACATTATTTTCCCTACTGCCTAGCCCCCCCCCCACCCCACCCCACCCGCAACGCTAAAGCTCTAAATGAAGCAAGTCTCGATCACATTTGCAATTTACTGGGGCTCCTTTTCAATATTAATGGGTATATTTATTACTATCAAAATTATACACATCCAGGGACTAAGCGTTAGTCTACTACTCAGAGAATATTAGCTGTTCAACGAGTCTTGGCCGCAGTTCCGTTTGCATCAATATATAATAGTTCATGTGTCCAAAATTATTCCTAGTCATATATTGGGTCACCGACCGATAATATATTTCCATTAGACGGATTTCCTCGGCGGGCTGTTTGTCTTCCTGAATGAGTATCAATCATAATAGTACGTTACAATTATAAAGGTCATTTGTTGACGGTCGTGAGAACCTACACGTTCACGTGCTTGTACAGCACGCGAAACACACACGTGATGGTGTTCCTCTTGCAAACTTGCCCACATATAAACATACAATAAATATTCATATCCTAGCTACTTATTAACATATGACACAGTTTGTTTACTGACCTATAGTTTTGTTTGTATGCTCGACAGGCACGAGTCAACGCCCAGGCAGAGATGTTGTACAAGTCGACATGTATTAGCGAATAGGGCTAAGGCGAGTTTGGAACTGGCGCAGCATTCGACTGATGTTCGAATTGGTAGAATGAGTAGCTCTAAATCAACTTACTTTTCGTAGTAGCCTGTTGATTAAAAGTCCACGAACTTGAACCAGGGCACGGTGGTCCTAAATGGGTTAGCTTGTTATAGCAAGCGCAGGGGAATTCCTTGCCCGCTAGTACTTGGAGCCTGCTAATAATAAATCACCAGCTTTGCCGACTCGCCCGAGTGGAGGACTGTCCGAAGTGGTAACAGCAGGAACTGTCCGAAGTGATATCAGCAGCGACTGTCCGAAGTGGTATCAGGCACAGTTGGAGTAAGTCCGCGAAGGGGCGCGTGCCTTTGATGCCCTGTGAACCGTTTTTTCAAAGAGCTGACGTAGGAACCGTTTTTGAACAGTTACCGGAATGACCCGAAAGCGTGTATCCTACAATGAGTCAAGCAGCAAAGCGTTATGACAGACAGGCGTCTCACCCACTAGAAACCCGAGCCCGTTTTCTCCATTCTCTGCCCCGACTCTGGCGTTTCGGTGGGGAACTCGTATATTGATTCTTGTGTCCGATCGCGCTCTGACTGAAGCTGAAGGGTTCCGTGAGATGGGGGCTCCTAATAATAACAATTGATGGGTAGATTACATAATCTGGGGAATATGTATGAGGTAAGGAGAGATGGTTTGCCAACATCAGCTGATGCCGGGGATGATACGATGACATCACACTGCGTATGTACCCAGACAGTAAACGTTCCTCCGGGCAGTAAATGTTATTTTAAGTCTATAACTGACTTCTCATTACGATAAAAAAGTTAGTTCTTCGATTCATGAAAATGAACTTGCTCAGTAGGAGAAGTAACTTTTTTCTGCTAGTTCGTGTTGTGGGAGAAACGTTTCTCAATTACAAATATATAACTCGCTGAGTAAGAAGTAAAATTAAAATAGAGGCAAGAACATTAATTTTCTAAAACTGGGGCAAGACTTTCCATATTATTCTAGACTTGAGTTGGGAGAACTTTCCAATATATTTACACGGGTCTGGGAGAGAGACACAGATTTGTTTGTAGCTTAACGCCGCAATATTCCTGTTATATGGCCGCGGTCTGTAAATAATCAAATCTGGGCCAGAAAATCCAGTGATCAACATCATGGGCATCGATATGTATACGATGTATCGATTTGGATATAGTGACATGTATCAACCAACACAGTGATCTGGACCACCCGACCCCGTTAGTCACCTCTTACGACAAGCATGGGTTGCTGAAGACCAATCTAACCCGGATGTCCACGGGTTAGAGAGACAAAGAGATAGTCATATTACTCCTAGGCCAAATGTAGAGATAACATCATTATCAGGTAATATGATACACCAGACCTTATCACCCATACTGCATATCCTGATCATGTTGAACACCAGTGCTTGTCACCGTCCATTAAACCATACGGTTAATACTCATGCAGTTGGTCTATGAACATGTGGACACTGTTTCAACAGTGGGGTAAACCTTGTTTGTTTTCAGCAACCTGATACATTCTGTGTCTAGTTCCACATTGACAAGACTCTCTGGAGCGTGGGAGTTGTCATACCAATTACTGGATAACGCTTAATTTTACTGCTGCTGAGAGATCCTAAAAGATAGGCACTTTTCTAACATTTGGCCTAGGACTAATATGGCTTATACCGGCTCCAAGATCCTAGTTTTGAGGCTAAGTTAGATCAGAATAATTTACGGCATATGTTTGCTGAATAGTTAAAATATTCATTAAAGGAAGCAAAATCCGGCTTATACACTGGACGTCGGGGTCGGATATTGTGCTCTTGAAACCGGTTCAGCCACGAACGGATTTCAACGCAGGAATGTAATGTAGCAGTTTGGTTTGATTCCGCTAATGCATCAACCGAATATGGTTGTCTTTTTGTGGCGTTATATATGGGCGACCGGACCGTGGAATTAATGGGTGTTACTCTGCTGAAGATGCCGTTTTCAAAGAGAATGTATTGTGTTTTGATTAGTAGAGACCTTTGTTTGGCCAGGATGCCACCCCGCACCATCAACCCAGCTTCACCGTGACATCAACGATGAAACATGAGTGACTGATCATAGTTTAATCACCGCCTCCAGCAATATCCTGGAATTACCAATAGTGTACCTTTGTGGGGAATCGAACCCGGGTCTTCCGCGTGACGAGCGAACACTTTAACCACTAGGCTAATATACCGACCCCCATCCGACGACCTCACGCTGGTCATTAAGTATAGCACCTATACATACAGGTGCTTTTATAGTAACCTGTTGCAGGTGCTTTCGTGTATGACATCTCCGCTATTCGCTAGTCATAAACGGTCAACAAGCGACAATATATTCCTCGTACCGTAGGTTCTAAAGTAACCCACCCCGTAGAACCTTGACCTGACTAACGCTAAGTCTCTGAAAATATATAATTTTGATAGAAACGGTATAAAGATTATGCATATTCAACTGACCTGTCTTGAAATGGCAACAGTTACACTATTCTCTCATGGTTCGTCGTGTTCTGTCATATGCTGTCATTGTGGGGTATGAAGCTTGCTGTTTAATTATTTTTTTCCCCACTGTGAGTGAGTGAGTGAGTGAGTGAGTGAGTGAGTGAGTGAGTGAGTGAGTGAGTGAGGTGGTGAGTGAGTGAGTGAGTGAGTGAGTGAGTGAGTGAGTGAGTGAGGTGGTGGTGGTGAGTGGAGTGAGTGAGGAGTGAGTGAGTGAGTGAGTGAGTGAGTGAGTGAGTGAGTGAGTGGTGAGTGAGTGAGGTGAGTGGTGAGTGAGTGAGTGAGTGAGTGAGTGAGTGAGTGAGTGAGTGAGTGAGTGAGTGAGTGAGTGAGTGAGTGAGTGAGTGAGTGAGTGAGTGAGTGAGTGAGTGAGTGAGAGTGAGTGAGTGAGTGAGTGAGTGAGTGAGTGAGTGAGTGAGTGAGTGAGTGAGTGAGTGAGTGAGTGAGTGAGTGAGTGAGTGAGTGCAAGCAAAACTCGTACGACTAACGTGCAACGTGCAAAGCTGACCAGATTAGCGACACTAGGTCACGTTCACCTGGAACTATTTTTTTTAAGAACACGCGAGTTTAATTTTTCATAACTTTTACTACGTCGACATTGTTTGTCTCGAGGAAACGAGGGCCAGTGGGGTCGAAGATGTGAGAAACACCAAGACAATCCTCGCGGGGTGACCATAATTATCCAATCAAAGCGCTTTGGGCTCGCTGACTTGGTTGACGCACGTCGTCGTATCCAAATGACGTACATCGACGTTCATGATGTCAATCACTGGATTGTCTGGTCCGGACTCGATTATTTACAGACCACCTACGTATAGCTGAAGTGCAGCCTTAAACTACAAACAATGCTGTTGTCTAGGTTGGGGCGTGTTTTTGTGGAACAACTGTCAGATAACGCAAAGGTGAGACACCGAGTACCTAGCAGGTGTTACTTGGCAGAGTATCTCAAAGTAAAAGTGTTGAAATTGTATTGCGTTGTCCTAGAAAAGGACAGCTGTGTGCTGGTTGGTATTTTTTAGACTGCTAGTCGAGAGTGATCAGGAATCTTCTAGAATATCCTTCACTAATCCAGTATGGACATTTTTGCATGTACAATGAGACATGCATGTGAATCTGGAATCTCACATTTTATGAGTGAGTGAGTTTAGTTTTACGCCACACTCAGCAATATTCCAGCTATATGGCGGTGGTCTGTAAATAATCGAGTCTGGACCAGACAATCCAGTGATCAACAGCATGAGCATCGATCTGCACAATTGGGAACCGATGACATGTGTCAATCAAGCCAGCGAGCCTGATCACCTGATCCAGTTAGTCGCCTCTTACGACAAGCATAGTCGCCTTTTGTGGCGAGCATGGGTTGCTGAAGACCTATTCTACCCCGTATCTTCACAGGTCCTCTCATTTTATGTAGACCAGCGGTTGTGCACATATAATACACCCTGGGTCGGTAGCCCTGTGGATCAATGCTTGGCCCGTCATGTCGATTTTCACACGATGCACTGTGTGAAGCCAATTGCTGGTGTAACCTGCTCTAATATCGCTGGAGGGGAGGTAGGGTAGCCTAGTGGTTAAAACGTTCGCTCGTCACACCGAATACCCGGGTTTGCTTCCCCACATGGGTACAATGTGTTGAAGTCTTTTTCTTGTGTCCCCGGCCGTGCTGAAATATTGCTAAAACTAAACTCACTCACTCACTCCTGATATTGCTGGATATCATAGGCATGAAAGGTGATTAAATGGATTGGACTGGGCAACTGTGTTGATTGCACCTCGTATCGACATCATGGGGCGGTGCTCATAATATCGATCACTGATTGTTTAGTCCAGACTCGACAATATGCATAAATCAACAGAGCACTGCTGAAGTGCCAAGACAACTAAAACACCTATTCAGTACAGACTATTTTGACAAGACTAGTAACAAAGCATCTCATTTTAACACCTGGTCTTTTCCTCTGAGTGTCAACATATTGTCAACAGAGAGCCTTAAAAGCTGAGACAAGAGACTAACCAGGTTATCTCCCTTGCCTTATCAGCCAGCTTTACTTGTCGACAATAATTAACTCAGTACCAACTGAATTAGATGAAGTGTATTAGAATTACATTACACCTTTAATGGACACCAAATTACTTAAGAGCAGTAACACAATTCCCTCACAGCACTAAACTGTGTGTGAACGTCATTGAAAAGCCTTGAAGCAAACGGGATCATAAAAGAATTTAGCACTCTAATTTAGGAAATGTGCTTATTAACAAGATTAGTAATTGGTCTTTTGTGTGCTTAAATAGTCAGGCCATTATGGAACCAACCATTCCTTGGAGACAATTGTAAGAAAATAAGCCCCTGTATTTTACTTCTCAGACAAGTTCAAGGGAATGTAGGTTTCAATGCTGCCATTATACATTTTGGTTTGATGCTAATGGTGTCAATCACTGGATTGTCTGGTCAAGACTCACTTATACTTGTTTACAGACTGCGGTTACAATGCTGGAATATTACAGACAGGTTCTGAGACTACTTCATGGGAATGTAGGTTTCATTGCTGCCATAGTGTATTTTGGTTTTAATCACAGGATTGTCTGGTCAAGACATGATTATTTGCAGATTGCAGCAAGTAGCTGGAATATCGATGTGTGCTGCTTTAAGCAACAAACATTTAGGTTAAAACGAGTTATAGGAACATTGATGGAAGTATGGATGAATTCCAATATTCTGGTGATTAGGTACATAACTCTGAGAGTGTGGGTTCGAATCCCTGATGGGACTCAACCCAACAAAAGTACTAGAACCAGTACTTTACTGAGAAAATGTAATCCCAAATATAACATGTGTTACATCAAATAAAGTTTTGAGACCATAACACAAAACTGGTATTGACATCTTATTCACTGTCTATACATACACATTCACATACAAGTGTGTACACATATACTGTTCAAAAGAATTAAAGGAACACCAGATTCTACTGTGTACACTAATCTGTTATAGCTTTAGTAATATGAAAGAATCAGAATCAACTATTTTGAGTGGCATCTTAGGGCATTTTACACTGTAGTCATTCTCAGTTATCAAGGGTATTTTTTGATAATCGCCCTTGACAGATTCGCCAATGTGGGATATTCCTAAAATAGTCACCACTTGTATTACACCTACTTTGACACAGCATTTCTTTAAGAGAGTAATTTGATGGCCATTTTGAACCACCTGAAATGGGCTCAACAGAGATATGGCAGTTCACAGATCCTGGGTATATATAACAATAGAAAGGAAATAAAACGAGGATGAGTTGCTGTCAGCAACACGCGTGTTAGTTGAGCATATGCATAACATAAATTATTAATGAAAGAATGCAAAGTGATAATTTCTTTTAAGAAGGATTTATTTATCTGAAAAGAAACAAATCTATATACACCGTGAGGATATTCAAACTTGGTTTATGACTGTCGATTAAAAAAATCAAAATAAAAAAGAAACAGAAATAAAAAACTGCATTTGTTTTATTCCTTCAAACAGAAACAAGTAAAGCCTTCAAATAAACTTGATGATTCTGCAATACATATTTCTTAATATACTACAAATAACACCCGTTGAAAATCTTTTTTAAAATTATGAAAAATCACAAAAGGAAATAAAAATATATGTATCTTCTTGACATGTATTATATCTGTTATCTGTTATCAAACATATTTGATCTGGACATTAGTTGCAGCAAAACCTCCTCCAAATATTTTGCAAAATACTTAAACTAAATCGGGATTATGTTTTTATTCTGCCTAATGTAACAAACCCATCAAATACATTATAATGGAGGATTGATTTAATGTTAGTAAAACATCTAGCACAATATCAACTTATCAAAATAAAATATAAAAGATATTTGATGTAAAACATTTGTGGTAATGGCAGATGAGGGTAACAGGACTAAGCTTAAAACAGTGAGCAGAAAAAACCCAAATATTCTGGTTCAGAGAGAACATATCTTCATCCGACAACAGATGACAGGTCATTGTTTTATAGTATGAACATATCTTTCACAGCTACAATATATATTCTGTACATCATCGATACTTTATCAGGTGTCTACATTTGGAATCATCACATTCTTAGTGGTGAACTCAGGATTTTGAAAACTGGTATTCACTGACAAAATCATGTTGTAAGCCAAACTCATGGAGATGAGTGATTGTTGGGGAAAGTATTTATGGCAGCCATTGAATCACCCTAAACAACTTCTAATGCAATTATGTTGAAAGGAAAACAAATATTTAGTCATTTAGCATTCATAATGAGCCACGACTTGGCAATGTATGTGTTGCATTACACACAAGACATACAGAGTTATGTCCCTTTAGTGAGCACTTTACACCACGTGACAACTTCAGTTGACACCCTATGCAGCAAAAGAGATCAGGTGATACCCATCCTCCCATCAGTGGATTCTCCTGAAGATATTTATCAAAGCAGACCTCCAAACATTTCCACAGACCCATTCTGTATGACCTTACTTTGAAGCTGCATTTAGGCCTCGCTTACCTTTTGGTTGTTTACAGAATGTTTGGACTAGTGTTAAAACATATGGTCAATTTATTTTCTTAATTTAACTACAGATTAGTGCTGCAACAAAAGAATGATAAACAAAGTTTGTGGCATGTAAACATGTTCATTTTATAATAAAATAAATAGCGTATTTGCATTTTGTCTTTTCTTGGAAGATCTTAAAACTATGTACGGGGACATTGGGAGAGTCATCCCCTACCTGTCAAGCATACCACCTCACCACCTCATCAGTTTTCTAGTTGCGTCCACTCTTCCTGCTCCAAATCAGGGAGCAAACTCAACAACAAAGACACTGCAGACACCAAATGATTCAAAGTTTTCTACGTTTAAAATCTGTGTTGTTATGGTGAAATGCTTAGTGTACATGGTCCCCTCTCTGGATTGTAGTATTGTCCATTCAATAGACAAGTTCACTGGTCCATTGGTCTGAGACTAATGAAATTAAGAAAGGGGGCTACGGTATATTGCAAAATCCCGTTATTTTACATAAACACTTTGCCATTGGAGCTACTGATGACATCAGATTTACACTTTCTTGATTGATACTCGGATAATGCTGAATGTGAATGGTGTAAATCCCTATTTATACACTCACTCACTCTCACATGTATAAGCGGTCAGTGGGGGTAGCCTAGACTAACCTGAAGCTGAGGAAATCTAGACTTGCCACATTTTCTAGACTTGTGTGGTCTTTCTTGGATATATTTGCTTCAGGGTCTGTACGAGAGACTAGGGGTAGCCTAGTGGTCAATGTGTTTGCTCCTCATGCCAGGGCCTGGGTTCAATATTCTACATGGTCACTATGTGTGAAGTCTATTTCATTTGTCCCCTGATGTGATATTGTTGGAATATCCATCCATGCTCCCTCCCTCCCTCCCTCCCTCCATCCATCCATCCATCCATCGTCACTCTTAGATGAGTCTCATACAATGCTGTGATGCTTGTCTCTGATCTCGCTGAAGGAAATCCCAGCCTAGTTAAACACTCCATCTTCTCAATAACAAGAGACAAGGTTTTAAGGTTTCTGCTAGTCTCTGATCTCGCTGAAGGAAATCCCGGCCTCGTTAAACACTCCATCTTCTCAATAACAAGAGACAAGGTTATAAGGTTTCTGCTAGTCTCTGATCTTGCTGAAGGAAATCCCGTCCTCGTTAAACACTCCATCTTCTCAATAACAAGAGACAAGGTTATAAGGTTTCTGCTAGTCTCTGATCTCGCTGAAGGAAATCCCGGCCTTGAGGAAACCCTCCACCTTGCTCTGTAGGACACAGTTACGCACCAGCTTCAGAAGCAACACATACAGGTCTGATGTTGGCTCCGCAGGCTTACAGATGTTGATGTGGTTCTCACTGAACGTGTAGAACTCTCCCACGTCAGGATCTGCAAAACATTCAAACACAGAAGTCCTCTCGTACTTTTTCAGCAGGATTATAGATATCTTCATAAAACCTTGCATGAAGGGTTGTAACAAGTTCCTCACATAGATTTATTTGATTGTATTACAGAGCTCCAGATAAGATTTAGCTCATGTGGGTACTGTACCCACTGTATTTTATTGGAGTGGGTATTATGAATGTTGAGTGGGTATTTCATTTTCCGTTACCCACTGCTTTCAAATATGTGGGTATTTCAGTGATTTTACTCACCTAAGTATTATGTCATTGAGTAAGTTTACTAAGCAGGTATGTTCTGCCTTATGTCATACCTAATCAAAACCAACTTAAATATAATGGAAATGATTTCATAAAAAAATCACTCATCCTATACTGACAGTACAACACTAGTCCTATACTAACAATACAACTTGATACCAATCGATGTCTTTTTCATTACGCAAGTGATATTTATAGACATATTCCGTACGCATCTGTTTTAAACTTTGTCCGTATCTAACATCTAACAATTATTTTTCAATGCGTAATTGGAAATTTTCTGTGCGTATTTTACCCAAATACGCAGCTTATCTGGGCCTCTGGTATTAAACAGGGCTTTAAACCTTGTACAAAACATTGATTAATGTATCCATCAAATAATCACAGCAAGCTTATGAGCGAACTAAGGAAATCTTTCATACTTTTCATCTAGTATGATTACTTTTCTTTTTTCAGTCCCAAATTTGAATAAAACTGTCACATCAGTCTTGGTAAAATGGTTACAACATCAATTATATACATGTATTATGGTTTATCAACACCTACCAGAACAACAGTGATTTAGTGGCTTCTCAACTTTATTCTAACCAAGCAAGTTAAGTTCTCCATCCAGCGTCAACAAACAGTATCATAATGTTATAGTTTTCCAGAGTGTCGCCTTGTCACACTGAGAGGTCTGTGGGAACATTACTGAAAACTCCTGTGTTTCACAATTTCAAAAAAGGTTGTTTTCAGATTTGCATGTGTCATTCAGTACTTCATGTCCTGATAGTCATGATATGGATAACATACTGCTGATGTCACGTAAATCTAAACAGACTCACTCACTTATGCCCAGAAATCATGACATTGGAAACATCTTACAACCACCATCTGTTCCAAGTGTTTGTCTCCCAAGTGTGTACTCACTGCTGGATTCTGGAGGGACGATGTGGACTTTAGGGAGGTTCTTCCCCAGGGATGTCTTGGAGGTTTCGCCAAAACTGATGCAGGGCACACTGTTGTCCTTCATGAAGGTCAGGAACTTGTCATGGAGGACTTTCAGGTGGGGAGAATCTGAAAGTGCCATCAAGTTCTCTAGCTCTCTGGGTTTTGTCTTGAGAATGTTCAACATTAGGTTGAATAGATCATAATTAAAAGGTGAACAAAAATATGCAGAGCAGATATTGTACAAGACAAGAAAACAACTGACAAACAAAAGAACTTGTCTACATTGGACAAGGAGTATACGGCGCGGCAATGTTGCAATCAGGAGCAATGTCGGTAGTTATTTGGTGTCGAGTACGTAATGTTTCTCACAATCATGTTCACAATCAAAACACTTTTCTCAATATTTGTGGGTATATTTTCAGAAATAATCCTAATACTGTATTTTTTGTATGTCTTTGTATGCCAGTTCAATGAGACATTGATAGATTACAATTTGGTGGCATAGGGGGGCCAAGTTTTTCAATAATTTGATCAGTGGTTGATAATGTAGCAGCTATTAAAATTGGTCTGCATTCTGATAGGATTTGAACCTCATATTTTCTGGCCATAAGATGGCGTATCCAAATATGACAAAATATATTAACCTTATCAGCAAGCTAAAAGGATGCAAGCTGTGGATTGACTTTACAACCAAGTGTATCGGCCATAAAATTTCCGAGTCCCGTGCTGGGATTCGAACCATGGACCTTCTAATCTGAAGTCGGACGCCTTGTCCACATGACCAAAGAGGTTAACCCCCATCAGCAAGCTGACAAGGTAAGGATGCCATCTGTGGGATGACTCCACACCCTGCTACATACTCCCCCGTCAACAGAAGGCACGTCCCGAGTTGCATAGCTGGGTACTGAGACTTATTTGCTCAAATTTGATATGAACGTGCTCAGCCCCACGTTGGGCGCCAATATAGCGGCCATAACATATCCGAGTCCTGTGCTGGGATTCGAACCACAGACCTTCTAATCCGCAGTCGGACGCCTTGTCCACATGACCAAAGAGGTTAACCCCCATCAGCAAGCTGACAAGGTAAGGATGCCATCTGTGGACTGACTCTACAACCGAGCATCGCACAAACAACTTGTTTGGTCCCGGATTGAAGGAGCGCTGTTTAGATGAACAAAATTTAGGCATCATCAGCATAAGAGTTGCTGTACATGCAGATGATGTGTAAGCCCCAGCCTACTGATGGCGATGAGGCTACCTGTAACATGAGTCACCTGCACTGAGTTCTTGCACCTCTACAGAGGGGTAGATAAGGTACCAGGCCTGGCTCGTGGTGTCTGCCAGGGTGGACCCCCGGTGGGGGACACTGTAGAACACCAACCCTCGGGTCTGAGTGGCCAGCGTCTGGAACCTGGGGTCTTCCTGGGCCATGGTCAACATCTGCTTCACCAGGAGACCTGTGCACAGGGGCACTATCAATCTCATCAATCATCATGTTTTGGATGAACATTTTTACAAGGACATATATGAGGACTGACTGACTGAGTTTAGTTTTTACGCCGCTTTTAGCAATATTCCAGCAACATCACGGCGGGGGACACCAGAAATGGGCTTCACACATTGTGCCCATGTGGTGATTCGAGCCCGGATCATCGGCGTGACGAGCCAAAGCTTTAACCATTAGGCTACCCCACCGCCCCACATATATGAGGAAGATAAATAAGACGTAATGTGTCAAATCTTAATATTCATAAAATAGCAGCAGGGACTGAAGCTCACCCAACTCTGTGATCAACAAAACTTGCTGATGTTTCTTTGTTTTGTAATGCCACATTCAGCAATATTTCTACTACATGACTGCGATCTGTAAATAGTCAATTCTGGACCAGACAATCCAGTGATCATCATCATTAGCATCAATCTACACAACTGGGATACGATGACATGTGTCAACCAAGTCAGCTAGTCTGACCACCCAATCCCGTTAGTGCCACTTACGACAAGCATGCTGTCGTTCTAATGATTCTTCACGGGTCTGTTGACATTGAAACCAAATATCAAAATGATAATTATGAAAAATATAACTACATTTTTACAGTAGTTTGAATTTTGTTCATATATAACACATCAAACTTATGGAGACAAACACACACTCTGAATCTCAGCAAATCTGGTTCCACATATCCTGAGAGAAAGGAGAATAACCATTTACAACAGCTCTTGAGTTCACCAAACTTAAATCTTCCCTGCCATTATCATTTACATTTCTGCTTTCTTGGGCATCTATAAAAATGAGTTGAGCTAACCTCCCATGGAGTGCCCCACCCAGATGACTGGCCGAGATCCCACACCAGCCTTGTGTAGCTTCTCCATCAGACTCCGCCCACGCATCTCAACTGTCCGACTGAAACACAGTAATTTAATCCCCTAAGACAGTTTTTACATATGTGTTGTACATTAGTTTAAACTGACTGTCGTCCATTACTTCCTAGAGATGAATATCTCAACAACAGAACTGTGTAATCTGGCTTGCTGGAGAAAAACACTGAGAGAAGACTCTACCATTGAAAACTGATGGCTTATTAACTTCCTGCGAAATGACTACCTGCAAGACGACTATTTACATGATCCAATGCCTGTTGGCTGTTGCACGTTCTACTGTGCATCGGCCATAAAATTTCTGAGTCCTGTGCTGGGATTTGAACCATCGACATTCTGATCTGAAGCAGGAAACCTTGCCCACATGACCTAAGACTGAGTGAGTGAGTGAGTTTAGCGGTCTGTAAATAATTGAGTCTGAACCAGCAACTCCGTCAGAGCTTACAAGGTAAGGATGTCATCTATGGGCTGTCTCCAAGACCTGATACATACTCCCCCATCAACAGAAGGCACAATGGGTGGTGTACACGAAGATGGCAGAATGGTAAAATAGTGCATCTTGTATCATGAACATTGTAATTTCGGCACAGATATTATCAAAAACAGATTCTGATCAGTTGAATTTTGGGCAAACATCTTTGCAAAGCAATGACAAACTGACAAAACAAGTCTCACCTCTCTCTGTTGTGAGGACAGCGGACATACCACCGCTGACATGTGTGTCATATTCCACCGTCAACAGCCGAGTGTTTGGGCAGTCTCGGGCCAGCCAGTCCTGCACAGAGGGTCAAGTCAGGTTTATCAACATCTGACTTGTGTAATCATGTACCACTGTACAATGAGGTGAGGTGATGTGTAATTGGGTTTAATGTCGTGCTTGAGAATATTTCGCTCATATGACGACGTGCATGTGTGTGTATGTGTATGTGCAGCTGCTTGTACTAGCCTAGACTGAAGCTGGTTTTATAGTGCTAGCCAACTGAGATACCATGCCGCAGAGAAGCATGAATATCCCACTCAGACACATTATACTGAAGCCAAGCCGACCAGTCCTTGTTGTACAGTTTAATGCTGAGTGCCAGGCAGGGACAAACAATTACCATATTTTAACGTCTTTTGGTATGACGAAGTCGGGGATCAAACCTGCGACCTTCCGCTCTCCGGGCGGACGCTCTAACCACTACACCACGGAGGCGGTCCTGTACAATGAAGTGAGTAATTGAGTGAATGAATGAACATTATAACCTATCCTAACACAGTGCTCATTTGTTTGTGTTTGAAGTTTAACACTGAAGGGCAGGACATGATGTGTTCATTCATATTGTGTAAACATAAACTTTATGGATGTCAGTCTCGGTGAATGAGTGACTGAGTTATATTTATGCCGCTCTCAGCAATTTTCCAGCTATATGGCGGCGGTCTGTAAATAATCAAGTCTGAACCAGACAATCCAGTGCTCAACAGCATGAACATTGATCTACGCAATTGGGATACGATGACATGTGTCAACCATGTCAGCGAGTCTGACTACCCAATCCCGGTAGTCACCTCTTACAAGCATGAGTTACTGAAGACCAATTAAAACCCGGATCTTCAGGGCAACAGTTCTCTTCATAACCCACCGTGCCACAGTACCCTCAATAACCCACCTCTCACAGTTCCCTGAACCTATATAGACTCAAGACACAGCTGCCTGCTGATACAAGTTGCCCAGTTATATATTTAATAGAAATGCAGTCCGAAAGCTTACAAAAATGGTACATGAAGCAACCTGCAAAAGATATCAGCAGCTTCAAGACAAGCACACTGTATGTACCTTGGGCCAGCACATGGACTGTGGAGTCTCTGACTGGTCCTGATCTTTCACATCCTTCTGCCTCCAGGTCTTGAAAGGGCCGCCCATTATACCATGTACAAACACAACATCACAGTAGGGATCCTCGCTGGAGGGGACAAATACTGGGTTACATTTACAGATCAACTACACAAACTTTCTAATCATTGTATTGGGGCTCCTGAGTTCTTGATATGAACATTTGGAGCAACATATTTGGTGCCTATGAAACAAATATACACGACCGCCTCCGTGGTGTAGTGGTTAGAGCGTCCGCCCGGAGAGCGGAAGGTCGCGGATTAGATCCCCGACCGCGTCATACCAAAAGACGTTAAAATATGGTACTTGTTGGTCCCTGCCTGGCGCTCGGCATTAATGGGTACAACAAGGACTGGTTGGATCGGAGTCAGTATAATGTGTCTGAGTGGGGTATTCATGCTTCACTGCGGCGTGGTATCTCAGTTGCCTAGCACTATAAAACCAGCTTAAGTCTGGGCTAGTACAAGCAGCTGCACATACACATACACACGCATGCACGTCGTCATATGAGCAAAATATTCTCAAGTACGACGTAAAACCCAATTTCACCTCACCTCACCTCACAAATATACACAGGCAGTTATGAATGGAAACTATTACTATTTTTACAGAGTCCAGAGGCGTAGCTACCATTATATAAAAAAGCCCAGGCTTACACATGATTTTTGCTTAAAAGGTTGGGCAAACCCTCAATACTATCTAAATATAAAGCTTTGCAACCTATCGGGCTTACACGAAAATGAAATTTTTAGAGTAAAATTAATATTTTATACTTATCCTGACTCATGCTTATTGCTTGTCTTCTTCTTCTTGCGAACATAGTGGAACACGTGTATCTCCCAATTGAAGTTTCCTTCAATTAAAAAATCACTAATTAGTACTCACCACGAGTTACCTCCCTTCCACAAGCGCGGGAACGAGGGCGCCACCTGAACCCATGTGCCTCACTCTCTCCTTTATGTTTCGAGCCCGACACTTTATTTTTCCGAAGAAATCCAAAGTGTTAAGTGGGGAGGACGGGAGGGCTTACCTCATGAGTCAGGATAAGTATAAAATATTAATTTTACTCTAAAAATTTCATATTTTTCCTTATCCTGACTCATGCTTATTGCCTGTAGAATCCGACGGAAAAGGAGGTGGGAATATATATACTTTGGATTTTAATAATTAGTGATTTGAACTGTGATGATTGTAATAACCCTATGGGAACTTCATAAAGGCACTGAACTGATGAATTCCTGCTGTTTAACTTATCAGCTGCCATATAAAGGTTATAACAATTTATAGAATATGATAAAAGTATATACAACATTAATGTAAGCTGAAGCTATTAATGTGATAATATAAACTTCTGTGAGTTTATAGTGGATACTTTAATAATTTAACCAAAGTATTAAGCTTAAGATATGCATATATTTAAGCTATAATAGTATAGTACTGTGCTTAAGATATAATTATAACTTAAGCTGTATAATAGTAACCAACTCCTTAGAGTTTGTTAGCTAATACATTTATGCATATGACCATATGACTGAGCTTAAGGATTGATGAAACTTAAGCTGAACATATATATAGTAGCAAAACTCCTAGGAGTTGTAAGCTTATATATATAGTATGATATAAAAACCATAGTACTGAGCTTAAGATAATAAATTAACTTAAGCAAAATATATAGATAGCATGTAGCTATTAGTACTGTTATCAGATAAGTATAAAATCTGTAAGATAGACTTATCTTCTCCGTGGAACTGTCAACTGTTGAGCGAGGACCATGGGACCGAAATGGTGGATACCTGAGACGTCCTCGGTGGTGATATCTCTCAGATAGTGGTTGGCAAACACCATATCGGATCTCCAGAAACATCCCTCCATTATGGTATTCAACGAGCAATTCCATGTAGAGCGAGTTGAGTTGAGGCTAGCTCTAATTTGGTGAGGATTAGAAGCTCTTGGAGGGTCGAGTCCTGCAGCCTTGTAGGCACGTAGTATAACAGTTCTGATCCAGATAGAGATCGTGAGTGCATTGAGACTTCCGTCTGCGTAGCTGTAGATATAGGGATAAATAATCTCTTGAATTCCCCTCTGCTCTGTTTGGATCGTTGGAGATATATTTTCAGTGCCCTCACTGGGCATAGTGATAGATCCATCGTATCATGCGGTCCAAGTATGGATGAGAGAGCTGGGACGTGGAATAATCTGTCTGGTTGACCTGGCAGTTGGTTTTTCGCTATAAAATAATCCCAGCGAAGTCCCAGATGAGCAATGTTATGAATATCATCAAAGCGTGTTCTCTCGTAATCCAATGCGTGAATCTCTGACATCCTGGCGGCCGTAGCTAGTGCTAACAGGAATAAGGTTTTGTGGGTCAGTGATTCAAACGATGTAGATAGCAATGGTTCATAAGCCTCACTAGTGAGGTGTTGGAGCACTATATTTAGATCCCAGGCTGGAGCGTGAAACTTCCGTTTCTGATCCTCCAATCGGAACGCTTGTAACAAAGCGAGAAACTCTGGTGTTTTTGTTAACTTGACGCCCGTTCGCAAAGTTATGACAGAACTTATGGCTGCAAGATAAGTGGACAAGGTTGAGCCTTTTAGATTCTTAGTTTGCCGTAGATAACATAAGAAATCTGCCACTTGAGGATGTGTAAGATATCTGGCTGTAAATCCTTTCTTAGCAGCGTAATTGACAAAACTGTGCCATTTGTCATCGTACAAGTTACGAGTTGAGTTACGTAGTGCAAGCGTGACCGCTTTAGCCGCTCTGGCAGAATAACCTCTCTTATTCAGACATGCCTTGATACAATCCATAATGTGAAGTTGGAATGCTTCTGGTGTTTTCGTGCACTTGTTTGGTGTGCGGATGTATCAATAGATTGGGAGTTGCCAGGGAGCTGAAGAATTGGTTTTCCCATTACTTGAATGAGATCTGGAAACCAAGTTCTTGCTGGCCAGTATGGCTGCGACTAAAATCAGATGGAGGCTCGTTTGACTGATTTTCTGTAAGACTTGTGGGATCAACGCTGGAGGCGGAAAGCGCTGACGCGTTGAGTCTCTCCACGACATGCTTAGTGCGTCCGTTGCCCATGCTAGTGGGTCTGGCACTGGCGACCACGAATGTTGTCAGTTGCTTGTTGAATCGAAAGTGGCTTAATAGGTCTATCAGTGGAGATCCTATTTCCATGATTATTTGATTGAATATCTCTGTGTGGAGCATCCATTCTGTCGGGCGACGGTTGGTGTGGCCGAGAGAGCCGTCTGCTAATACATTCTTTGCTCCTGGAATGTGGCAAGCTCTGGCGTGTATGTTTAGATTGTCGATTAAATCGAACAGTCTGAAACATCGAGTCAGTAGGTTCCGTGACCTTGTTGAAACTTGTTTGTTCACATAAAACGCCACTGTTGAATTGTCTGTGTGAACCATCAACTGAAGCGCTCTGTAGTATGTTGCTCCAGTGACTTATGGCGTTTATGACTGCTTGCATCTCTAGCAGATTTATGTGACATTTGCTCTCTTGATTGCTCCATAGGCCTGACGCTGTCCTGCCAGCAAGGTGGGCTCCCAAACCTTGTAGTGACGCCGCTTCACGAGAGATGTGTGTTCGATTCGCCTCTACTAAGGAGACGCCTCGCAAACATTCAATCTCTTGGTCCACCAGAGTAGATGTGGTTTGACATAGTCTGGTAGACTGAATGGTAGAGGGTCCTCGAGATGAGCATTGATGAGTACTTGTAACGGACGTAATTGAAGCCTGCCTCTGACTGTCAAGTCTTGATCTGATGTGAGTAGTCCCAATAGGCTCTGCCACTGTCGTAGTGGTAACGGAGAGAGTAGGGCTTGAGGAATAAGTTGTTGGATCTTGATCCATCGGTCCTCCGGGACTACAATACGATTTTGAGCTGTTAGAAATCGTATACCTAGAAATTGCAGATCTTGCGTTGGTTCTAGGTCCGACTTGAGTAGATTTACTAACCATCCTAATTGTGTTAGTAGCTTGATTATAAAGTTCAGAAAGTTTAGATACTTCTTTGGAGACCTTGTCTATGTTGCCACCAAACAGTAAGGGCGATGACCATGGAGCTGTGTATAGAGATTCTGTAAATTGCTTATCCCAAGAGCAGGAGGCTGGTAAGCCTTGCCGACGAGCCATGGCAGTAGTTTCAGTAAGTGCTGATAGGTGCTCTGTAAGAAATTGGTGGTCTCTTTTCTGCATGAGTAGAGCTGAGTAGATCATTCTATCTTCCTCCTCTGTAGAATTCTTGAACTTGGTGATGAGAGTTTCATTAATCGTTCTAGATCTATTCAATCCAAAGAACATCCTCTTGGCGATGGTATCTAGTTGCGCCAATTTATGATCGTCTACTTTGTAACTTCTGGACTTGGCACGCTGATTAATTTAAAGTTGTCATCAATATCCTGGGCCTTGAAAAGGGGTCCATATTGTGTCCAGCAAATTTCTTGGCATTGAAGACCGGAAACGTGTAGATTGGACTTTTGAAGATTTGGAACAGGCTGTATCCAAATTAGCTGGTACCGCTGCAATCGGATCAATAGGAGGTAAGGTGATATTGTCTACATCATCATCCTTCATCAGGTAAGTCTGAGTTGAATTCTCGTTCTTCGATGGGGAAGCAAGTAGTAACTCATTCACCATCCAGTATCTAATCTCAGCATCTGAGAAAATGATACCTTCTTCCTCTGATGTAGGGTCACATGTCGGAGTCCTAGATCTGTAGGAAGATCTATGAGAGGACTGTGGTGAACGGACTGACTAGTGGCTAGTGTAAGGAGACCTTGGAGGAGACATCCTCGGCGAACGCTGGGGGCTTTGCGAAGCTCTTCTAAATCTTCTGGGCGAGGTAGATATGGAGCCACTTAGCCTTCGCGACCTTCGCGAATGTATCGAGTCAGTGTCCGAATCGACATATGAGCGCTTGCTTCGCGAACGACCTCTGTGTTCTACAGGGTGTGGGTTCGGCTAAGCTCTCCTTCTCCGCGATGTCCCTCGCAACTGGATAGGCTCTAGCTCCTTCGCAGAGGCGGCCTGGGACTTCCTATGCAAAGTGATCGCTACGGGCTGGGTTGCCCTTCGCGGAGGCGCGTTTGTGGGCTCTGGGGCCCTACGCGAAGCCAAGGCGGGCTCTGGGGCCCTGTATGACTTATTAAGAGTTGGGCTCTGGGGCCCGTGGCTCTGGGGCCTCTGTAAACCGTAACGGTCCTCCATCAGTCTCATGATTTGGTTAACCAGGTCGTCTGGGACGGTCTGCGCTGGTGTTGAGGGTGGCCTCTCTGTGAAAGTGACGGGACCGTCAATCGTGAAACTCAGGCCAGCGTAGGCATCTCTGGTTGCGTGTTTATCTGCGCTGTAGTGACGGTAGCAGATACTGGACGTTTCTTATGACGTACATCTGGAATGATAATCGGAATGTCATCATCATATAAACATAGTTCTGAGACAGGTAGAATATCGGAGGCAAAATTATTTGTAGCTTTCGTAGATTTCCCTTTTGACGAAGCTGTGGACCTGGGGGTTTGAAGCGTACTTTGAGATGATGTGGACGCTTTCCTAGTCTTAGACTGTGAAGACGGAATGTCTTGAGATGCAGGTCGCTTCTTGGACATAGCGGACTGCGTCCCACGCTTATCCCCTGAGGGAAACTCCGGCATGCCACCAGCCGGTGGCGGGTCATCAGTCAACAGTTGACAGGGTATAATAGCTTCCGATCTATTAGCCATGACTGAAGATTGTTTGCAAGATTTATCTGCCTTCCGTCTCAAAACGGAACATAAATATTTATCAAAGGCAGAAATTGGTAAATTAATACATAATTTACAACGAGAAACAATAGAACATGGAGTAATGCAACTAGGGCATTTTAAATGTGGATCGGCAGCGGAATAACGTAGTTTACAACCTGTGCAGATTCTCATTAACGTAAACTGCTGAACAAACACGAAAAACAGCAGAAACACGACTAATAATCAATGCAAGTTGAATAAGGATACTAGTTACACCTCTATAACTGAATATAAGAGGTACTAAACTAAATATAAATAAAGGATATAGTGTGTTGGGAGACACAGGCGCTCTCACGTCCAGCTCACTGGGCGAAGAAGGAGAGAGTGAGGCACATGGGTTCAGGTGGCGCCCTCGTTCCCGCGCTTGTGGAAGGGAGGTAACTCGTGGTGAGTACTAATTAGTGATTTTTTAATTGAAGGGAACTTCAATTGGGAGATACACGTGTTCCACTATGTTCGCAAGAAGAAGAAGACAAGCAATAAGCATGAGTCAGGATAAGGAAAAATAATATTGGCTTGCTATGCTCCTGGAGTCTGAATTGAGGACAGTTTTTGTGTGTTATTCCTTTTTGATTGGCATCAAATTTGTTCCAAATAAAATGTCTGAATTGGATACAGAGTGAGTGAGTGAGTGGGACGAGTGGATCACTTAACTATTTGGCAAACCCACCACCACTTTTATTGCTAGCTCAAAGTTTGCTCAGGATTCAATAATGGGATCTGCTATAGAAAGTTTAGTCAGATATTGACCAGTTCCTTTACACTGAAGTATCACTGAATACATACCATACTGTGTCACTGTAAAACAAATCTGGAAGGGCAAAAATACCTTGTCCTGTGTGTCGGATGGATGACATAGACTCCCTCCTCACACACACAGTCACTGCCGTCTCGGTCTAGGTTCAGCAGGGCTCGGCCAGCCAGTTGGGACAACATCAGATCCTTGTGGGACATCCACTGGGACAGTATTGGGACCCAGCCTGCAACACAAGGGATGGTTCAGTGACAGTCAGGAAAGGCAGGGCACTCGGGTCAGTGACAGTCAGGAAGGGCGGGGGACCCGGGTCAGTGACAGTCAGGAAGGAGGAGGGGACTCGGGTCAGTGACAGTCAGGAAGGAGGAGGGGACTCGGGTCAGTGACAGTCAGGAAGGACGGGGGACTCGGGTCAGTGACAGTCAGGAAGGAGGAGAGAACAGGGAAAAGGAACAGACGACAGAACTGGGAACATAGGAAAGAACAGGAGAAGGTTCAGGAACAGAGGCAACAGAGCAGGAACAGCGGAAGGATCAAGAATAGGAACAGGAACAATTAATAGAATGGGAACAGGAAGAGTATCAGGTATGGAGAACAGCAAATGGGACATGGGCAGATGACTGGGGTAAAGACAAAATATGGGGACCAGGAGACCGGCTAAAGCAAAGAGGACAGCTGGAGGGAGACAGGACAGAAAAGAGGACAGGGGACATGAGAGGGGATAGGACAGGGACAAGAAACAGGGACATATCACAGGGGCAGAGACATAAGTGGAGTGGAGAGAGATAGGTGGCAGTGGACAGGGAGGTACTCCAATATTCCCCTCATCTAAACACATCGTCATGAAAATGATAACTCTTCGTGAAGACAGTCCCATGGACTGAGATTACCATATCTCACCTGTTCTGATAATCTCCTCATGAAGACAGTCCCACAGACTGAGGTTGCCAATGATCTGTGCGACCAGGTGAGGAATATGGAGAGTGGAGTTCAATGGCAGTTCCTTCACCAGGTGCAGCAGGGCGGTGAGACCTTCTTCCTGTACAATCTGGACACACTGAGCCTTACTCTGGAAGAACACAACAATGTGCAAATGTATTGTGCCCCCATGGAGTTCACATGGTTAACAGTCCATGTACCTGTACTAGTATTTACAGTCAGCTGGCAGGATAAGTTTAGTTTGTGGCTTTATAAAGTGTTTATTGCCTTCAGTAAGCTGCGTGATGTATGGTGAATTGTGAAGACTGACTGACTGACTGAGTTTGGTTTTACGCCGCTTTTAGCAATATTCCAGCAACATCATGGCGGGGGACACCAGAAATGGGCTTCACACATTGTACCCATGTTGGGATTCGAACCCGGGTCTTCGGCGTGACGAGCCAACGCTTTAACCATTAGGCTACCCCACCGCCCCTGAATTGTGAAGAAGTAATGAGTGAGTGAGTGAGTATGGTTTTACGCCGCTTTTAGCAATATTCCAGCAATATCACGGCGGGAAGAAGTAACGAAGAAGACTGGAGTAATATCCCATTTATCTTATATCTTGCAGTATATCTATCACTATGTGAGTCCAGTTTGTTCAGCTTGACCTGATCAAGCGAATACTAATGCATTGAGTGACTGTGTCACAACCGAATGGGTCTGTTATTGTGAAGGAGAGCAATGTCCTAACTTTCTTTAAAAAGGAAGCTACAGATGGTCTAATGTTTCCGATTCGGGCTTTTAGGCATTAATCACATTAATCTGCTCCCTTATTTAATGAAGTTAACTCGACCTGCCATTTGTGCCATTTGACCTCCCGGGTCATGCATATGTAGTGTAACTCAGGTCAAGCTGAACAGGCTGTAACTCCTCAAGCTATATACAGTATATCTACCGACCTGTGTGTGATTCCATATCTTTTATCTTTGTGTGCAGGATATCTATCAATCTGTTAGTGACTCTCTAAGCTATATACAGTATATCTACCAACCTGTGAGTGACTTTCTAGGGCTTCCAGGTAGTACAAGTGCTGGATTTCTTCAGGGACGGGTCTGTCTGTTTGGTTGGTGTCGTAAGACGGATTTCCGAATGACCAGAGGACGCTCTAGACAAACAACAGATGTCTTTATCAAAGCATCATTATTTGCAAGTTATATACCAAACGAATATGATATTTCCAAATTAGGTTAAACCTAAATAGTACAATTTATGTGATTTAAAATATCCATACAATTTAAATGATGGTCTTGAAGTAATTCAATGTTTTTAATGACCCAACCACACCTTGACATGTATGTCTGTATCAGATCTTTGAACTACTTATGTAAAACCCCAACTTTCATATTTCAGTCCAATAATTTGGTAGAACAATCTGTTACTCCAAATACAGAGGGAATATTTATCATGTGCTGCAACAGCTCATTTCTTTCACTTAAAGATAACATAATGTTATCATTCATAGTTGTCACCAGTTGATCATGTGTGTGAGATATTTTCTTCTGGGGTAAACTCACCTTATCTTCTTGGACCTGTCCTTTCTCCAGTGCCAGGGATGTGAAGTACTCAACGCACTCACCGACGTTCTCCAGCGGCAATGACAACAGCAGGGACCGCAGCTCTGCAGCACAGCTCCTCTAACAGAAGCACACAATCAATGAGTGAGTGAGTGAGTGGGTTTTACGATGATTTGAACAGTATTTCAGTTCTTAACTGTGTGCCAGTTTGATGTGGAAGGTGAGGTGAGGTAGGTGAGGTGAGGTGAAATGTGGTTTGTTTAAATATGAGTTCAAGATTATTGCACTTATGGAGTGATATGCAAGCACAAGTGTGTTGCAAGTGTGAGTTTGTGTACTGGCAAACAAGGATAAGCACTGACCTGCCATTGTGAACGAAAGGGCCCCAGGTTGTCTGCGATCAAGTGTAGTGCGACCACGTGAGAGTCTTATCAGCAAGGCATGTGCAGCTACGCGCAGAAACAATTTCATCGTCATGCACTGCATGTGCACTAGCCTACATCTGCTCTAACTTTCACAAACCAAATGGGTTTGCTTATTCTACAGCTAGTAAGCGCGATCTCTGCGCCGGTCCAACTTATCCTTGTTTGCCAGTAGCAGTGTGTGTGAGTGCATGTTTGTGTGTGTGTGTTGTTGTTTTTTTTGTTGTTTTTTTTTGTGTGTGTGTGCGCGCGCACGCTCATGTGTGCGTGCGCGTGCATGCATGCATGAGTGCACTCGTATTTGCTTGTGCTAGTGTGAAGTAATTCAGTTTCAATATGCCAAGCTGACGGTACAGCCATGCCGTAATTTACCATGAACATCCCTCAAAGAAACAGTATACAAAATCCTAGCCAACCAGTTCCTTAATAAATCCCCTGAGATCATAGCTGGGGAACAATACGTGCCATGTTCTGGTAAGACAAAGCCAGGTATCAAACAACTGACCTCCCACACACAGTGCTTGTACATTCGCTTTTGTGAAACCAATAAGCATGGGTAAGAAGCTGACAAACCTCAAAACACAATCAGCAATACCATGTGATTGTCATCACATACAGACATTCCCCAACCAAGCAAGGCTTCATTGTACTAGTCAAACAACACTTACAACATGGCAGCCATTACCTTCAGGGGCACCAGCTTGGGTTGGGGCAGGAAGAAACGGTCCCCAACATCTGGTGACCGAGCCAACCCCACCAGAGTGCGGCCATCACATGCCTCTGCGATGTAGCGGTACTGGTAGTCTGGGCATATAACAAACACGTATCAAAATAGCACAGTTTCAGTGTTTATGCTGATATTTCACTGTAAATTGTCCTACTATCTCCTACATAGATTCACCTGCATTTAAAACTACAGTGGAAACCGCCTAAGTAAAGACCGCTTAACTAAACAGACCTGATAAGTAAACACTTTTCTTTGGTCCCGGCAAATTTCTTCATTAGTTATCACTATTACAGTCTGGTTAACTAAACTCGGATAAGTAAACAATACCGCTTAACTAAACGTCTTCTCACGGTCCCTGGAAGTAAATTACTTAACAAAAGAGACTGGATAACTAAATTAGTGATCACCACATAATCCGACATGTGGGGCAGTCGTGTCAGTCTCCAGTCAAACAAACATCCTACTTACAGCTCGCTGCCGTCAAGGGCTGGCAAGTTTTGGTCAGGGCAGGCAAGTTTTGGTCAGGGCGGGCAAGTTTTGGTCAGGGCTGGCAAGTTTTGGTCAGGGCAGGTAAGTTTTGGTCAGGGTAGGTAAGTTTTGGTCAGGGCTCGCAAGTTTTGGTCAGGGCAGGTAAGTTTTGGTCAGGGCTGGCAAGTTTTACATCTGACCAGTTGGCTGAAATTTTTGGGAGTTTCATACCCTGGCAACATGCTTCTTTCATTGTTTAACTTTCTAAAAATACACAAGCAGCCTCCTTCCAATCATTTTCTGAAAAACTCCTCTCAAACATTTTTGGAAAAACACATGGTCAATGTAGGATATTATTAAATATGTTCATCAGTGTATCCATGTTTTCATCTAGAGGACGAATGTCTGATTACCCTCCCAGTCTTCCATTTCGGCAATGGCCTTGACCCCCAGCCATCTTGTTTTTCTGTCTGCGGACTTGGTGAGTTTAAGCAAGGTCCAGGGATCTTGGCTGTAAGACTGTAACCATGGGAACCACGACTCTGCAACAAAAACACTATTCTTATTTTCCCCATATTTACTGCCAAGCTTTTTTATTAAATATGAATTAGGTATGTATGTGACAATGTTTTTTAAAGTAAAAATGGATTCTGTTAGATGGCTGAACCAGCTGAAAAACTGAATGCAGGGACAGGAGGAACCTCGGTACAGCTGACTATCCTGGTGTGTGAGCATTCTCCCCCATGTGTGAGCGTTCCCCAGTGTGTGCGAGTTATAACCTCTTGTGTGTGTCTCCCCCATTATGTGTGTGAATGTCCCAGCTTTAATGTAAATGTCCCCTCTCCTTCAGTGTGAGTCTCCCCTCTGTTGTGTGAGTCCTTTTGTGTGAGTGCACTCTCCCATGTGTGTGAATGTATGTGTGTGCCTTTGTATGTGTGTGACCACCCTTTTGTGTGAGTGTCCCTCATGTATCTAACAATGCAGTTAGTTAAGTCTGACTTACCCTGCTTTAATTTCTCTGGATCAAGATACTTCTTCCTGATGTCTGAAATACATAATGAAACATAAATGAATCATAAAAGCTTGTTCAGCATGCATTGTTCAACTCCTAAATCGTGCCTAAGTGATCTCTACTGAGAGAACAGATAATTTAGGGTAGTTGAGTACATGAGACAAAACCATCAATGACCATACCTTCTGACAGAGTCAGGCTCTCGAATGTATATTAATCATCTTTGGATCAAAAGAAGAATATATATTGACACAAGTATTGGAAAGGATGAATATTTTTGTGCGCCGTTTCCTACTTATACGGAGATCTAGATTTTACAACTGTTGCAAGTTTAAGCAAATATATAACTGTAACAAAGTTAGGTGGAGCATTATCAACCCTGACAATCTGCATATGACCTTCACCTTGAGACTTAGCTCTTAAGTCTCTCTGCCTGTCTTGGATGTAGATATACGGGTTGGTGGACTTGTCAAGGTCGAACACACTCAGCTGTGGGGATGAGGACAGTCTTCCTCTGATGGACTGTATCTCTATCCACAGGAGGGTGCCACTGTTTGGGGAAAAATATGGCACTGACACATGACATGTTAAAGGGGGACTATGCTCAGGCAAATTGGCAGTCCATGCCAGTTTGAATAAATAGACACATTGTTTCTTTGCTTGCTCAGTTGTTAGTGGGGGGAAGAAATTGTGAGGAGAAGGCATTATATCAGAGATGTATTGTTTCATCAGAGAAGTGTAATAACCATCCATGTCAGCCAATCCGTGTTAATACACTGACACGCCAATACCTACGTAGGTTGACCTCCGATGTCTCCTAGCAGCTACACTCACCTTGCTACCAAAGTCACAATGATAGAATAGGCTCCTGAAATCAGAAAAAATCACCTTTCAGGAAAATATAAGTGAAACCTTTCAGAATATGGACGTGATTAGGACATAATAACTCAAAAATATTTTAATACATTTTTAGAAAGAACAAATGTCTCATAACCATGAAAATCTCATTGGTAAGCCTGTCACTGAATCAATTTTCACTCACCTTAAAAAAACATGCATACACATTTTTAGACATCTGACATGTTTAAGGTAAATTTGACTGCTATGATAGGCTGGATTCCTCAAGTTTTGGCAACAACCATTCATACAATGTCACTAAAATATATTTCTGGTACAAATTTTGGATTGCTTTCTCATGTCTTTGCAGGACAGATTTGGAAACAATCTCCATGACAATGATCCTCATTTAGAAATGTTGACAGACAACATTATGTTGACAAACAAATATTATATATATTCCTGTCTTTGATGGAAGCAGGTGGCCCAGTTGACCTGTATAAAGGAAGCCAGACAGCTGTGATGATTGGTTTGAATTCTGATTATGTTTTGGGGTTTGTCAGGACCAAACTCAACTTCCATAAGTACGTCCATATGTCTCGTAAGTCCAGGTAGCTGACATGCTGTGACAACTGAAATACTGTTTAAAGCAGCATTGACCACAACTCATTCACTCGCTCATCATGGCTGAGAGAAGAAAATAGCATTTGGAAAAATACGAAATTGTCTGCGAGATTGTATGTTGTAATGTTCTCTGTCCAAAACCAAAATACAAAAGATGGCTCCTGGCTGGCCCTATCTAGTAATGGAGTACTGTTCTTTGTTTCAATTTTATGCAACAGGAGTGGGTGATTGTTGGGTGTATGACTGGTGCAATGAGTGAGTGAGTGAGTGAGTGAGTGAGTGAGGAGTGAGTGAGTGAGTGAGTGAGTGAGTGAGTGAGTGAGTGAGTGAGTGAGTGAGTGAGTGAGTGAGCGAGCAAATGAGTGGGTGTATGCATGGGTGTGTGCATGTGTGCGTGGGTGAGTTTTATGTTATTATTAGTCATATTCCAGCAATATCATGGTGGGGGACACCAGAAATAGGCTTTAAACATTGTACCCATTGCACCTGAGCCTTCTGCGTAAGGAGTGAAAACTAACCACTTGGCCACCTCACCACTCAGACTGAAGTGTAGAAATATGAATGTAGGTTTCAAGCAGTGAAACCAAGGTTGAAACCACAGTAAAAAAAATGAAATCTTCCTGTCTGAGGAAAATGGTTTCACCATTCACTGTGACCCAAACACTAGTACAGTGCTATGCTGCATTTTTCTCCGAGAGGAAGAGTGAACGTGTATCTCATAAGCAGCTTGAGTTGTATGCTCCCAAGGGAGCTGGGAATGAAAATCAAGTGCCATACTTCCCCTGATCATAACGTTAGTGCTTTGAGCATACACCCTGTGTTAGGGTCTATTAAAGGTCACATGCAACGTAAAACACAACTTTGCAGATTCTGATACCTTTCGATATGGACTTACCAAAACAAATCATCAAAAATGCAAATTCAACTTATAAAGTTGAAAAATAACGCGATGAAAAAATACCACGCGAAATCGTAGTTCAAACGATTCACTAACTTTCCCTGAGTGCTTGGGGGAATTGAAGTGGTTTCAACAGCTGGGCTGCGCTCATAGCACATGCGCAGTGAAATAGGTTCGCGGAGCTTGGAAGCAGGTTGTCCGGAGAATATTCGGTGAAGGCTTTGGTGTGAGCTATTTTTCTAATGTTTTGTTGATATTTCAAAGGCGCGAGCTTTTTATATGTTATAACAGTAGATTACTGATTTAACTGTTTATATAATTTCATTTGTCTATTTCACGTTCTTCTTACCGAGTCACTTTCTCAGTTCGATACTTAAAAGCAATGTCATTATTTAGCGTCAACAGATTTTCTAACCGTGATATAGATATGTTGTTGTCACAGACAAAACTCAATGTCTGTTTTATTGGCACCTATGTGTCTGCCTGCCCGTCTGCTAATGACAATATTCAATACACAATTTCAATCACTGACCACATGCAATTTGAACTTAACACCTATCAGGCTATACACCATAAACAAAACGCATTGATTTATGGCCCGAGTTCGGTCTCTGTCACATTATGTAATTACACAGACAGGCAGGTGTGATAATGACATGTTATGATGTCTGTTGATTGCAAAATGTTATACACAAAAAATGAGCAAAACCCAACATCTCTATATATACACACACACAATGAGCCGTGAGGGAGGCATCTGCAAAAATGAACCAGCCGTTACACTTGAGTGCACACCCACCCGCTCTGACTGGGTTCGGTATCCCGGCTGCTTCGTTTCTTGGGAAGTAAACCCAAGTACAAAATATTTCACTTTTGATTTGCGATTGTACGCTTATAATTTTGTTTTTATGTTTTTTCATAACCAGCAATGTATATTATATGTCATTAATAAGTGATAATTGTGTTTTAATTATGTTTGATTTTTTGGTTGCATGTGACCTTTAAACTTTATAAGTAGCTTCATATACAGGGATGCAGAAGATGTATTATTACCAATTTTCCTCACTGTGAATCTTGCTTTGTTGTGCGAGTTTCTGGGGTCATAGGAAGACATCCATCTTGTCACAGTCTGACATAACAGAGATGCCTGAGGACATGGTGGAAACTGTTTTATTGATTTGAAATAGAAAGTACTGACAAGGTGAGAGAGAATAACAGAATACTAATAAAAGTATATAGACATTATACAGATTGACCTGATCTTAAAAAGGTCTAATACAAAACTATATTATTTACATCTTTTTAACATAATTTAATCAGGTGAAGGAATGGCTGAGTATAATGACTAAAGGTAGAGAAAATTAGTTTCAGAACCACTAAAATGCCTGCAGAGTCTGATATTTATATCAGTTATACAATGTCTGAACCTGAATGACGCTCCCCTTGATCAATGTCTGGTGAATCGGACATTATTTCTCGCACTTTTGATGCCTGTCCTTATATGTGATAATGTGACTAATCATCCATATGTGTTGAGGAAAACCTTTCACTGGGATCATTGTTAGCCCAGATAGTACAAACTCCACCAACCACCATCGAAATTACATCAGACATTTTGCAGATTTGTTTATTTTTCGTGAAGTTTGTATCATCTGAAAAATCATAGCTTCCATATCATGAATTTGACAAGTGAAAATATATTCAAGAGTATGAATTGCATAGAGCTTTCACCATATTTCTGGTTCCACTAAAACTAGGAAGGAAACTGCTGGTGGACAAAGCAGATACATTCTCTGATGAGGTAAGGTGTATGAAAGGGAAAACTCATATACCTGTATCGCCTTCATTCAGATCTGGTGTTATGGTGGCTCACGACATGCTGGGGGACTTGGCAGGAACACGACGTTTAGCTTGCTGAACTAGAGGACTGAAAGGCAATAAAAAATTGCTTAATCTGATGTAATGATTCATCGCCCGATTATTTCTTTTCGGACGTCAAACGTTTTCGGACATTTTCGTGTATATCTCTCGCTACATAACCAGAGGGTTACGTCACACAAACATCGTATTATCGAATGATGGCTTGTGTTTGAGATACAGTTGTCCTTAATAAGTTAGCGACATGTTGTACAACTGTTCATATGATAATTAATAAAACAACGGATGTTCTTAAGCGTCCGAAACCCCACAAGACGAAGATATGAATGATAACGTACGAAAACTGGGGGACTGAAACTGAGCTGACACACATGTACGTTGTGTAAAGTCTCATGCACATTTTGACCTGACAATCGGCACATACCTCTCGACTAGTTCGTGATGACGACTACCAGGCACCTACCCTGTCACATGACAGGTTGGACATACACTTCGATGAAGAAACCGACGCTCACACACACGGAGGATTGTTTACAAAGGGAGGTAACAACAACGTCATAAGCAAATACACACCGCTAAATATTAAAGTAACCTAATTTCAGCGTGCTATTTATTTTTGGACGCTGAAGAAATATTCGTTGTTTTCTGGCTAATCATATGACTTCAAACTTCAAAACATCACAGAGGCTTGTAACGCAAAAGTTTGGCATCAAGGTACCATATTTCCTTTAATAAGCGCCGGATGTAAAGCAGCTCACTATCAGTTACGGTAATTACACCCAGTAAGCACAAAAGCGCCTGGCCTCTAATAAGTGCGGGGTCTGGAGGGTTTACTCCCATAACACAGACCTCCAAAACGCAGACCACCCAAAATGCAGATAAAAATAGCACACTTATTAATTGGGTCATGCTAGTCACCCCTAATTAATGAATGGCCTGGTCCACACTTTGATAAATATGGAGAACAAGGGACTAAGTGGACATCCTTGTCTAACATCAGTGGAACAATCAAAATAATCAGATAGTTTCTCCCTTCGCTGACAACTACAGCAGCCGTCACGTTGTCATAGAAATGCTGCAGAACACGAAATATGTTTCCATGGATACCATTTCTTATAGCCATGTCGAACGCTTTCTTGAAATCCACGAAAGCACAATAGAATCTGACTTTTCTTCGAGTTATATGCTTTTGAACAATAGATTGAACAATTACACCTTCATTCTCGACAAAGGTATTAATTATCTTGTTTATGATAGATGTTAATAATCTACACAAAGTGTTCAACAACGACAGCCCCTATAGTTACCAGGTTCATTATTACTTCCCTTGTTATATATAGGTATTATACTAGCAGTAGGCCATGCAGCTGGGAAATGACCTTTACACAAAACAATAAAGCAAGGTAAGGTGCAAGCTTATCCTTAGCTTTCTTTTAAAATTCTGTTGGAATACCGTCGTCTCCTTGTGATGTATTCAGTTTATCATCTTCTATTGCAGATATAATTTCTGCAATTGTTATATCATCATTTACACAACTAGTATAGTGTTCATAACTATGTTCAGTAATATACCGTAGTTTCCAATATAAGTATTACTTTCCTGGTCACAGTCGTCACGCGATACAGGATTGAATAAATCTTAAAAATATGTATGCCATCATTCTTATCAGATCGCCTAGATTTATAGTTTTTTATTGATTAAATAAATATTGATGAAATAAAGGATCACTTGCTACATTGTCAAAACTCGTTACATGGGTGATATCATTTTTCTTAATCAAGGGTACAGCCTACTAATCACGGGTGCAACCGACCGTAAAAAGTGTTGTTCTAACGGGTCTGCGTTTCGGGGGGTCTGCGTTTTGGGAGGATACCGTCTGGAGGTCCGTTGAAAAAATAAGCGCCCAGGCGCTTGTTAGAGGAAATACGGTGTATACTGTTACTGTATATACAGCATAGTACCTTGATGCCAGCTTTTTACATTACAAGCCCCTGTGGTGAGGTGAAACTTCTTATATTCTGTGGAGGCGACGTTTCGACATAGATTCTAATGTCGTTGTCAAACAAGTGATACATGAGTAACAAATTGAGAGACTATATACAGGAGTTGTCATTACAGTAGATAGGGAATGAGTTGTTTGTACAATTATAAATGAGGTTGATGTACAACGCTTGTATAAGAGATTGAGTAAGTTGATTGGAAGCCAGAAGGGTGAGATACAAGGACTGAATTAGAACTTATACAACTGATAGGAAGCCAGGTGGATGTATATACAATGGATGGGGTTGATGTACATAGTTGAATTGAAACAGATAATGTACACAAGAAATATTATTGATTACTTTATCAAGTGATGGTAGGCATTGGGAATGTAGTATCCTTCATCTCTGAAGATCCTATCTTCTTGATGTGTACTGCTTCCAATAGTTTACGAATTTTGTAGTCTGACTGGTTCTTTTCTATGGTTTTCTTTGAATTATGATATTGTGTGACAAATGTGTCGGAAGTGTCCGATGAAAGGGAGGGACCTATGACAAATAAGGCACTGTGACGAGTATCTTTTCATGGTGATTTCCATCACGAGTGGCCACCACTAAGACAATCAACCACATCCAAACCATCATCCTAAAATAAAATCACTGAGTGAGTGTGTGAATTGAAATATATGTCACCTAAGAGCAATATTCATGTTTTAGGTTCATTGTTGATGGTTTTGTGACGCCATATTTACGCCATCAGTTCAATTCCTACTTAATGGAATGGTGAGTTACACTTACATTTCAAACAAATTGGAACTTGCGTTTCTTTTGCAGCTCAGTTTATTACATATACGTCACATTCAGAGAGTTTTGAAGTATGTGACACTATAAATGAGCTGTATGTAGACAATTCTATAATAACTATCAGTTCTCGCTGTTTGGTTATAGGTGGAGGAATTAGAAATGAGGCATGGGAACTTAACCATTTATGTTTATGTCACTTTATTGTATTTCAGGGTGATCAAAATACAGCTGTGGTTTCTTTGAATCAATAAAGACGATGATATTTATTAACTGAAGATCTTCACCTACATGAACCTAAATCGCTCCTACCCAAAGATAGAGGAGACGCACGTGACAGTAAAGCACCTTGGTACCTTAATGTAGTAACAGAACCATTCCACAGTCAATGGTGTAATCTAAGCAAATAAAAGGATGCAGTCAAACGTTCGTCTAATCAAAGCTGAAAATAGTACGCAGTTAGACGCTGGTCTAGCCATATATAGTGAACTTCTTTGGATGGCATTTAGAAGTTGGTGTGCTGAACAACGGGGAAAGTTATATGGATATACAACTTCTTTATTATAATGTAAGCGACATTTTGGTCCGCCAATTTCAAACCCGTTCTGCCATCAAAATATCTATCAAAACCCATCTTTTCCCCCAAGTTTTCTTCTAACAAAAGTTAGATAATAGACATGTTTTACCAACAACTGATTTTCTACAATATATTGTTACACCCCGCCGCCATGTTGACTGTATGTAATAATTGATGTGTGTGATAGGTACTCTTATACCACTATTGGTGGTCTATCGAGAATAAAAGTAAAGTAAAGGTTACAGCTGGACGTGGTCGCACAGGTTTTGAAAAGCTGATTGGTGACACGTGTATCCAATTAACCTTTCGTAACATTCTCGTTTCCAGAGGAGGACTTTGAACTCGTTCCATATATGGAACTATCTACCTGTATCATCTTGTTTATAGCTTGGTCAACTCATGTCAAAACGATTCAAATCGAATGAGAGCAATAGGTGACATTCACTGGGATGCAGACAAATAAACATTCCTACACATCTACAAAACATTTATCATGTACTCACTGGAGTGAGTCACTCCCGTCCTTCTCTATCCCCAACTAAACTCCTTACAATATATAAAAAGAGGCCATAGGTGCAAAGACTAGTACCTACTACCTAGTAGTTACTAGAGGAAACCAAATTACTCAATAACTAGTATACTGGGTATGAAAACAAAATATCAAAACACAAAACAAAAAAAGGCACCCTTAAATTCAGAATAAACCCTTTAAAACATCCCTATCCAGCCACACATTACAGTGTAAACTCGATTATCCAGACTAACTCACAATGTCAAGGCCACACACCGCACGTTTCACAACCAAAACATAAACACAGTACCCTGCCTCCCCAGCCCTACTTTTAACATTTAACCCCTATACATATATTTAGTAGACTCCTTATTAGCTTACCAGAAACAGTTTAACTGTTCTGCACATTTAGTCACAATATACTTTACACCACCTACTTAGTTGAACTTATACGCAATCAACTTCCCAAACCTCTTACGGCCAACTTCTCAACTCCCAATCTAAACTAAATTATTTTCAATATACAGGTGTTTTATGATATAGTGCTTTATTCCCCAAGTAATAATTTTATTTCGTGTTTGTTAAACACACCTCGGTCGATGAATTGTGGCACTCTCTCAAGTCGATAGTTGGGATATGGGGACGGACAGACACATACGTATGTGCACAAGCCATTCTTGTTGAAGTATGAGAGACTATGGCACATACATTTAGAACAATACCTTTTTCACATAATAGTAGAAATATATATGTGTGAAAATATGCACACAGAAGAAGACCAGATGAAAGGCAAGGGATGTATAAAATTCCATCACTGATACAATAAAGCCCGACGGGGAGTTGGTTTGGTTGGTCTGTTGTTTAACACCGCACTAGGCAATATAACAACTATATGAAGGCGGTCTGTAAATAATCGAGTTTGTACCAGACAATCCAGTGATCAACATCATGAACATCGATCTACGCAGTTGGGTTACGATAACATTGTCAACCAAGTCAGCGAGCCTGACCACCCGATCCCGTCAGTCACCTTTTACGACAAGCATGAGTTGTTGAAGACCACTCCAATTAAAAAAATTGAAGAGGGTGACAACCATTA